TATTTCATGGTTGTAGAGAAAAGAAAATTGAAAGGAAAAAAAAAAGGGTATGAGCCATTATTGATCTGGTTTTATCTAGGTTTGGGAGTGAGAGAGATGAGGTTAATTTTGTCCAAATAAAAATACTTATGTTTGTTGTTAACGTGAGAAGCATATACGATCTTTCTTGGATTGAAAAAAAAAAGCTTCATAAAAAGGCACACATGACACCATAAAAAAAGAAGCCAAACGAGGAGTACAAAAAAAAATTCTCTCTCAACTCGGTGAGGTCATCTTGTGGGTATTTCATGGTTGTGGAGAAAAGAAAATTGAAAGGAAAAAAAAAGAGTCTGAGCCATTATTGATCTGGTTTTATCTAGGTTTGGGAGTGAGAGAGATGAGATTAATTTTGTCTAAATAAAAATACTTATGTTCTTTTCCAGCGTATTTATAAAACCTTAATTAAACAAATAAATTATTATTTTTTTTTTGTTTTATTCCATTATCATTACCATTCTTAACGGATTCTTAACGGATGAAATTGTTCCTTTCAGTCCACAGCCTCCGAACCAGCATAAGTAACAGCGCAACCTTTTCTTTATCAAGAAGATTTCCATATCCAAGGGGTCAAACCTCATTAGCCACACCAAAATTCAAGGTCACATGAAAAGCAGCATCCAGTTTATCATTACTTTGAAGTTTGACCGCAGACCGATAACAATGTCAGAATTTTACGAAAATTCAAACTTTATTTGAATCACAATTTAAATTTTTATTATACGATTTTCTCTTATAAAAATTTAAATTTAATTTTTTTTTACTACATTATTTTATCTCGTATGAATTTATTTTTTAACTCAAATTCTCAACTCAAACGGACAAAATGAACAAGGCTATCAAATATTTATATCCACAGATCTAACAGAATACAAAACCTTCTTGTCAAAGGGCCAAACCAGTTTGTCCTCCCTGCAAGAACCTAGAGCTTTCATCATATCTCCAACGAATTGGGATAAAAACAAATGCCTGGGACAGCATAGGACAATCAATCAATCAGTTACCCGTATTACTTGAAGTAAGACTAGTGCTTGGAAAATTTAAACACAAGGAAGTAGAAAAGAGTGAAAAGGTATAAAAGGAACCAAAATTCGATTGGCACATCCGTCACAGCATTGAGAATATGCCTCAAACAGAACTCAAACGGTCCAAAAGCAAAACCATCAACCTAATCAATACTGCAAACAAAAAGCTTATAGAAATATGTTACATACTCTGCTTTTAGAAATAAAATAAAAGACAAAATGCCAACCGACAAAATCTAAATGATCATTAAGATCCGTTGGTTAAAGAGAGAAACAAAAACAAAAAAATCGATCGATAGTTTGCTTTCCTCAACTGTCAAGACTTCTGGACCAAAGCTATACTTAACTATCAGAACAATATCATTCATTGCGATTTTGGTTTCTCAATCTTCACATAGGGCAAAAGTCCCATGACATGGACTATCTTAGGCGCCCATCCCCGCTGCTCAGCCCGGCAAAACATCAAGAACGTGTTTGCAGAGTAGGAATTGAAACCCATGAACACGTGCCACATAGCATGACCCTGCGGATTAACAGGCCACTGAGAGATCTTTTTGCAGAAAATGCAATCGCCAAGCCAACACAAACTTCCGAGAAAAAGTGTGGCAATGTAGAACTTTGCAAGCCACTTGGCAGAAGCATCGTTTGTGTATATGTAGTACTTGTACATTCGGGGTATGCAAAGCAGACAGAGGATCACATAATGTACCTTAAAGCCAATGCCAAAATGGACAAATGAATGAACAACAGCAAAGGCCGCACCATAGAGGAAGAGGAAGGTGGGCATTGTGCTACGGTAGTGCCAATCTGGAGAGTAGAGGATATATATGTAAAGAAGCATCTCCCAAACCATCGGAGTTTCATCACTCTGTTGTTGCCTGCAGATCAATGTTTTAAAGAACATCTTCAAAATCACTCAACCACAATAAGAAGAGATTGTGCAACAAAGTTGTAGTCCAAATCCTAAACTTAATAGCTGATAATAACAATTTCAGACAAAGATAACAGCTAATAGCCATACTTGGCTTGTAGTAAATAATATGAACAGAATCAGAGTTTGAGCCTGCCAACAAATAACTCAAGTTTACACTTCTCTAAAATAAATAAATAAATACATTTGCTTCATTGGGAGACCATCTTTCATTTAATGCTACTTTGCGCCATTTCTTTGGCTTGGTGAATAATCTTATCTACTCTGAACATTAGCATCCAGTACTATCAACCCATCCCCACTGTTTCTTTCTTTCTTTCTTTCTTCTTCTTCTTCTTTTCTTTTTTTTTTTTTTTTTTTTAAA